TAAAACCTATTTTCTAAAAAAAGGGAAACAAACACACTCAGTGTGTGTAAACAATTATTGTAACTTACTAAATACCGAATTTCTCAAAATTCATTTGGAAAAAAATCACATACTCTGTAACAAAAAGAACTGGTTTTAACCCCACCTAAATTTTGAATTTTTGAAATTGGACCCTCAAAATTTCCGTAGTTTTGCAGTTAAGTTCTCAATTGAAACCAACTCGATTTATCACGGGCAAAACCCATGATCAGTTCTGTTTATGGATTGTGGACAAAACATTACGTAATATAGAAATTAATAATTAACAAACTAAAAATATAGGGATGTAATGTGATTATTACACAGTTTGTAATATGAATTTTTCAAATTCAGTTTGTCAAAAAATTACATACAATGCAAACGGATTAACACGGGTTAATGACCCAAATGGCCACTGAACTTTGTAAAAAAATTTCACAAGTCACTGAACTTTAAAAATTACTTCATTCATCACTGAACTTTGCAAAAGATTTCCACATGATCACTGAACTTTGCAACTAATCCCTTGGAAAACTTTTTGCAAAGTTTAGTAATGAATGTGATGATTTTTAAAGTTCAATGACCCTGTGAAAACCAAAGTTCAGTGATGATTTTTAAAGTTCAATGACCCCGTAAATTTTTTTTGCAAAGTTCAGTGACAATTTTGGTTTTCAACTCGATTAACACACTATAAAACTCTGAAGTTCTCATTAGGACTTGAGTTCAAAGTTGGACAACTTATGATCAAAATGGATTCTTTCATTTTCGAGGGACCAAATTGAAATTTTTTGGAAAAAGATTTAATCTTTTGAATGATGACCCTGAGGGTTCATTGCTGATAATACGAATTATTTGAGAATTGAAATGCAATTTGAGACTTAATTGTAATAATAAAAAAGTTCAGAGATTAAACTTCAATTTAGAAAAATTTGCATATTTTATCATTTTCATTCTTGAATTATAGTTTTGAGTATGACTATGAGTTATTATTTGAGTGTTACAAGCTTCACAAGTTTGATGTCTCATTTGCAATTTGGTTATTAACTTCATGGACTAAAATGTAAATTTAAAAAAATGTTATGATGTGATGAGTTTCGAGCCAAATAATGTGTCTACTGTTAAAATTATGCGTTTGGAAATATTTGATTTGATCTGAGAATTTTTAAATAAACAAAAAAATAAAAAGTTTCAGAAAATTGCCCTTCATTTCAAGGTAGGCTAGCGAAACATTTGAATAAAATTGACCATCAGGGACAATTGTGCTAACTAAATGGAGGTTGAGGATAAAAATGTGATTAAAAAAAATTTGAAGACAAGAATACGACAATAAATAAAAGTTGAAGACTTTCATAGCAATTAAAATATATTGCACCAAATGAAAATTGTGGTGTGAATATAATTAGGCTTTACAAAACTCTTGGCGAGAGATAAATTTTATTTCACCAAGAAATTCTCTTAAATAATAAAAAAACAAAATAAATAAATAAATTAGGTATTACAAAATTCGGGGCCATTCCAAACTTGACAAATAATACGTTAATTCAACGGACTATATCTATTAAGATCTTTTAAAATCACCATGCGCACATCCATACATACAACAATAAGGGTTTAATTTTAATAAATCGGCAAGCTATCTTAAATTAATGATTAAAATTATTTGCAAAAATGAATTGATAGAAGGAACAGCCTCCTACATATTTTCTAGATGTTCCAAGGAGATGTCACTTTTAGAGAGAGAGAGAGTGAGTGAAACGCATCTACCACTTTTCGTTTTCTATATAATGCCCATTTTTCTTATGATTATTTTTTTTTCCAATTATTGTAACGTACTAATTTCTCTTCAAAGTATTGCCAAATTCTCTCCTTTCCTCTTGCAAGAATGTTGAACATTGAGGCATTTTCGACAAACAAGACAAAATTGACGAAGATTTCTAGTTCATTTTAACACTCCAATCTTTTTCATCAATTATTCCTAGATGACATTTTAATAAAGAATTCTGTTAATCATCACCGATTGTGTTAGTATTAATCTGGGTGAAATTAAATGTTTGATCTCAAAATTCAGCGAGACCAATGGCTACCAAATCCAAACCCCACTTTCATCCACCCATATGTTACCTGTACACTTACACTAAGCTTTATGCAAGTGACTGTAGCTTCGATGATGGGGGACGATCGCAAGCACTTCAAAACTGAGGTCAGTCAGTTATGGAGGCGAGTTTTGGATGTGGAAGAGATATAATTGACAAGAGTAATATGATCCAAGTTGAAGAGAATAAAAACAGTTTACAATGTATGGATGTTGTTCAAAATTGCGTTACTTTTGGAAGACACTAATCCCCTGTTTGAGCCCAAATATCTAAAAATCCATTTTCAATCAAACATTTTCCTAATAAAACATTTTGCACGTAAATTTAAATTTTATTTTTTACTTTTTAACTACACATTCTCCAAAAATTAACTATTACAAAACTCATTTTCAACAAAAAAGGGGGGCTCGGATTTAGGCAAAGTATGAACTTTTATTGTTGTTCGGAAGATAAAAGTCACCGAGGCTTTACAGGGCTCAGTTTCTCCAACCAGTTGATGCCACCAAGAAGACAACGCAAAACCTCCAAATAGTTCCTCCACTTATGGTTGCTATAAGTTACTCACCAAACAGACGACACAAGAAGCGAAGATCGCGTAGAAATTAAACCACAAAGGTGAGAATAGGTAAGTCGAGAGTGAGAAAAATGAAGGAGAGGCAACCGTAAGTTCTCGCACGCAGAGAGGCGGATGAGGAGACCCATTTAACTAAGTGGGCGTATAAGGTAAGTAAGTTTAGGGTGGAGTAATGGCCCAAAGGCCCAACACAAGGATAAATGGGCTACTAAGTAGGTACCGTTATTTAGCCGTCCAAGTAAGTGGGGCTAATAAATTAGGCTGCTTTAGATGGCCCACACAATTTTGGTGTCGGGTCGTTCCATTGAGATGCCAATATAACGTTCAATCATTTGGTTAATGTCCACTTGAAAAATAAATCGAGTTAACATCACAGTCCGAAGAGATCGTTTGACAACAATTCGCCTAACAAATCTCCACCTTGGTGTCAAAGGACCTGTAATAAAAACATTAACACGTTTTGACAATATTTCCAATATAAGGAAATGATAAAATTGAAAATTAGTTACCTTCACCGATATTTAGAAGATTTTTGTAACTTCTAAACTTTACCAACGACAGCACCTTTGTGCCCATATTTGAAGGATTGTATTGTGTATGTATCTTTTCAAGTCTTACCACTTCTTGTGGCACGATGTCTATAATGAAATGTAGTCTAAGAAGTAAAATCGATGTACTTGGTGTGTTCGTAAAAAAAAAAAGATTTTTTACATAAATGTATAGAAGACCGGTTGTGTCAATATACTGCCACATTATCAATTAGAACACAGAGTTCATGCAGCAAACCTCTAAGCCACAAAGCTTATTTAATTGCTTCAGTGATAGCAATATATTCTGATTCAATTATGGATAGTGCAACTATTTGTTGTAATTGTGACTTCCAACTTACACAAGAGTTAGACAAGATAAACACATATGAAGAAGTAGATTTTCATTATATCTATACCCTGCATAGTCCAAATCTACAAAGCCTTTTAATTTTACACTTTCTTTATTAACACCAAACTTTAGACCTACA